ATGGCGCAGGGCAATTTGTACCTGTGCACTTGCAGGTCCGGGTTCGGTCCTCGATGGTGCTAAACGCAGTTATAAATATTTGAAACGCAACGCTGAGACTCTCGCTTCAGGATCCAATGGTCACTATACACTGCCTTCTCAGTCTTGTATTCACCTGTATTACAATCTACAGGACCAAGTCGGTACGATTCTTCAGCGGTGATTACAATCACGTTATCAACTGGGGATTAATATAGTTCTAGAAGTGGTGATTCACAATAGATCATCATCCTCGTTGGTGTAACTGGTAATGACCTCGTACGTGAGTGTGTGATAGTGTAACTTAGATGGTGCCAATCTTTAGGCAGATGAAGTGCCTCTTATTGGCAGTTAATTTGACGTTGTTTGGGTACTGTGATCGTGTCCTAACGAGAACTACCCTAAATGATGTCTTTATGAGTTTGGTCTCATGGTCCCTTTGTGAGTTTGGTCTAATGACACCTTCACGAAATTTGCTATATCTTGTCACTTTAACGTCAGAACACGAGGCTGAAGCCAGTGTCATATAAAGCTATGAAACAAGATAGGTAATATCTGACCCCTTGTGTGTGTGTGTACTCACCTATTTGTGCTTGCGGGGGTTGAGATCTGGCTCTTTGGTCCCGCCTCTCTACTGTCAATCAACTTGTGTACAGGTTTCTGAGCCTATTGGGCTCTATCATATCTACACTTGAAACCAACACACACACACACTTGTGTGTGTGTGTGTGTGTGTGTGTGTGTGTGATGTATACAGAGACACACTACTGATAGAATAAACTGTCTCCTAAATCGAAAACATCTCTGCTGTTGACATTCAGTTGATAGGTTGGCCCCATTCCTTCCCTCCGTCCTATCCTAAACCCTTACCCCCTCATAGACCTTACAAGTGCTGTAATGGTTAGAAAGTTGACCTCAATAATCCTAACAAGGCCTTTCAGACCCTGACTGAGACAATCACCAATTAACTCCTCCCAATCGTTTGTAACGAGCAGCATGTCAACCTTAACTCCATTTTACAGCACACACACACACACACACACACACACACACACACACACACACACACACACACACACACACACACACACACACACACACACACACACAGCACATACACACAGCCTTCATGCTAAATTATCGTGAACTGATGTAATATATGAACAATTACGGAGTTCAATTGGTCCCTATAAGGGAACTCTCACTGTTCATGTATAAGGCTCACAATATACCATTAACAGCGAAATCCAGCATGCAGGATTGAACGCAAGTTTGCGTTCAATTTTGCGATGCACAGCAAATTCCACGCTCACCACACATTAATGAACCTATTTTCACAAAATGCCACAGCTATAAACTAGTGTTTATTAGACAAACTGCGCAATTCTAATGAGGATAGGATGAATGGTTCCAGCCAGTAAATCCGGGTTATGACATACGGCCCATATTTTGTAATCCGGATTAAGGCGAACGCATTCATTGCAATCCACTGGAGGGGGCCTCGTAGCCTGGTGGATAGCGCGCAGGACTCGTAATTCTGTGGCGCGGGTTCGATTCCCGCACGAGGCAGAAACAAATGGGCAAAGTTTCTTTCACCCTGAATGCCCCTGTTACCTAGCAGTAAATAGGTACCTGGGTGTTAGTCAGCTGTCGCGGGCTGCTTCCTGGGGGTGGAGGCCTGGTCGAGGACCGGGCCGCGGGGACACTAAAGCCCCGAAATCATCTCAAGATAACCTCAAGAATCCTTGCGGCTCCTGCGACCCGCCCGCCTCGGTCACGCGATGGAAATATTTCCGTAGGGGAATAAAGTTTTGCAGTTTCGGGTCCTATATATTATATATGGCCATCACATGTTTCGGCCAACATGTGATGGCCGCCCTCAAAGGATAAAGGTTTCAGCCAACCTCTGTGATTACTTTCCTACCCAGTAAACATAAATGAAGATGTCCTTGCACCTCCTTAGAATAGCCCCCTCGGTGGATGTCTCAAGACATACATGGCTCCCTAAACAGCAGCTAATAGAACAATTATCAACTGCCGGTATGTTGATCCACACAAAAAAGATCACTCAAGTATCGGCAGATCTGGAGAACTTACGGAACAGAGCAGTTCACAAGAGCAACAACACTCACTCACGTTCCTGAGCTGAAGAGATTGAGGTATGAGGAGAGACCGAGAGAACTGGACCTTAGCAGAAATGGAGACGAGAGGTCAGTGTTTCATTAAGGTCGTTCCAGGGCAGAGGGGAAGAGGTGCGAAGGATTTCGGGATGGGGAAGGAGGAGGGGTGATGGGTGGGGTGGGGGGCAGAATAGGATAGTCGGGTGATTGTTATCTTAAAACACACAGCAGACACGGGAGAAGCTTTTCAGGCCCTCTGCTGAAGTTTGAAAATATGAAAAGAATGGAAAAAGAGTCTTTCGCGCCAGAGTCTTTGAGCCATATCGGAGCCATGTTGCTTGTAGTACCTGCTCCCTAGCCTAACCTGCCCCTGGTACACGCCTTAACCCAATCCAGGCAGTGGGAGGGAGGTTGTTGAAGGAGGAGGAGAACCCTGACTATATAAACCCTCAAGAGATCTAACCCGCCGAACACACGACATAACTACCACGTTGTTGCAACGTCTGGACAAGCATTAGCACCTCCTAACAAGTTGTAACAACGTTCTAATACGTCATAAAAACGTTATACCAAGATGTAACAACTTTATTACAGGTTGTACCAAGCGGAAAATAGGGTACAGTTGGGGGTTTGTGTTTACAAGGAGCTGGAACACGGCACAGCCTCTGAAGGGATAAATGTCGGGGGGGGGGGGCGGTCTGGGCGCGGGGGGTGCTTTGGGGGGGCTGGGGTGGATGGGGCGGGTCTCTGGGGGGGGGGGAGGAGTTGTCGCCATGTTTGGTTATGACTTAAGCCTCGCTCACTTATCCTGCTAGTTTTTCTAGCTAGTTCTTGCTGTGGCTCCTTCCACTGTGTGTACTCCTTTATTCGTCTTCTTGATATTTTGGTAAGAATGTACACTTCTGTATTTTTGATTCTCGTACGTGTATCTTTGTGTTTTCTGTCTTACTCTTAATTATCCTTTCATTCTGTCTGTTCTTAATCTACACTTCTTCCTCTTCATCCCCTGCTCCTCCTCTACCAAACCCCCAGTTCCATATCTTTTCCTTCGCCAGTTCACATTAAAATTCCGATTACATAATAAACTGTTGTGGCGCACAACACATCGACCTGACCTTGTACTTCTTCCCGTCCTCGACGGGTCTGGTCAGCGCTGGTGTCGCATCCTCGTCTCCTGTCTATACCGATCTCTGTCCCTCCCCGTCACTCCTATGTCTTTCCTGCCTTCCTGTCTCTGAACCCCTCACCCCTTATCCTCTCGCTCTTATTGTTTACGATCCCTGTACCACTCCCACGGGCTCACCATAGCCCGTGCTACTTGCCCCGCTCCGGTGCCAGGTAAGCTACGGGCTCACCATAGCCCGTGCTACTTGGAACTTGTTTCGAGTAGCTGAATCCATTACAACAACACAACTGCACCATTCTTCTAATTACCGTCGCCCGGTGGACCGCGTCACACAGCGCCCTGCAGCCTAATAAAAACCTGCGCGCATGACCACGATAGAATCACAGATCAAAATTTGTGAGAGATTGGCACTAGAGTTTGTGCCTCGACTTATACCAAATAATATACTTGTGTTTAGTGATTGTCTTCTCAGCGGGAGGTGTGTGTGTAAGAATTGACTTAAAGTGCTGGTATAAAGCTGTTTGGGGAGGATTTTGGGATTTAGTGGGGGGGGGGGCGGGTGGATAGGGGAAGGAGATAAGAATACAAAATGAAAATGGGGAGGATAAGGAGAGTTCAAGAGAATAAGGGTAAGAAGCAAGTGGGTATTGTGTCATCTTTAAACCTTTCCCTTATGTACAAAATGTACCAAGACTGTGTGTAAATAAACACATTACAAATGAACAACCAGTTACTAGTGAAGTTTTGAATGTGACTTAGAATTCGAGAAAGGGGAAGAAAGGTGTGCAGGAGAAAGGGGAAGAAAGGTGTGCAGGAGAAAGGGGAAGAAAGGTGTGCAGGAGAAAGGGGAAGAAAGGTGTGCAGGAGAAAGGGGGTAGAATGGTGTGCAGAAGAAAGGGGGAGAGAAGGGCGTACGGGAGAAAAGGCATACCCAATGAAGGTACTTTTGACAGGTTCAGAGGATCTGGCGTCAGAGGAGGGAGAGTCTGCTTCACAGTGTCCATGGAGGGCCGGATATCTCCGCCATTAATGGACGTTGATCGAATCTTCGACAGTGGAACCTGGTCGCCGCTTCGGCTAATGTCTTGTTATCTCTTCATTCTGTCTTCAACTCATCGCAACTGCTCTAATTACCTATCATTATATATTTATATATACTCAAACATTCCTTCTATATCTGTAAGAGACAATGTGTATCTGAGAGTGGAGGGCCAGATGCTCGGGGCTAACCTCTTGCAACTTTGCTGGGTGACACACTAGTGGTAGGTGACGGTCATAGGTAGGTCTGGGATACTCCCAGCGAATGAAGTCTGAATGGGAATGGGGGGTGGGGGGGGGGGAACTGTAGAATTTTTCAACCGTTTCTCAGCTGTTCATCACACACAACATAACCACAACTTTGCTGCAACGTTGTATCATAGTTGCACAAATAAGAAATTACATTGAGAGAGAGAGAGAGAGAGAGAGAGAGAGAGAGAGAGAGAGAGAGAGAGAGAGAGAGAGAGAGAGAGAGAGAGAGAGAGAGAGAGAGAGAGAGAGAGAGAGAGAGAGAGAGAGAGAGAGCAAGTTGGGGAGGTGGACCACAGGATATCTTATATATCTTTTAGATATATAACAGATATCACCTACCATGCCTCTCAGACCACCTGCCACAGAAACAGCCTGCAGGTGAACCTGCCGGCCGGGGTCGGAAACGCCTGTAAGTCCAACCTTCCCAGGACAGGTTTTAGACTGACCTGCACGGAGAACCTGGCGGTGCAGGAGGCCGGGAAGATGGTGTAGACGCCACTGGTGGTCTCTCCTGCAGCGGCCACGGCAGCGCAGTCCCGGGGTTGGTCGCTACCTGGCGAGAGGAGGACAGATGGCATTGAAATCATTCATGTCCTTACCGTTTGCTCGACTGTGTGTGTGTGTGTGTGTGTGTGGTGTGTGTGTGTGTGTGTGTGTGTGTGTGTGTGTGTGTAGGGGGGAGGAGAGGAGTTGTTGTATTTGTCCTTGTATACGGGCACTGTATAGGTAAGGTTGTATGCGGGCTACCGTGTTTGTGTACACCTACATCGTCTGTTCATACGTGTCTGTGTGTGTAGGTGGCAGCAGACGTGTTCTCCTCGTCTTGCGTGTACCAAGAAGGTTTTCGGAATGACACAACATATAAATATATACATATATACTCACCTGTCGCCGCCTCTCTTGATTCATCTCCAAGTTATGAGATCAGGCGATAGGCAGCAGCAGACAATTACTCACCTACTTCCTCAGCGCCAGACGGGTTCAGGGGGAACTGGGGGACTACTCACCAACCTCTTCCTCAGCCATCTGTCCCTACTCACCTCCGTCTTCCTCAGCCATCTGTCCCTACTCACCTCCGTCTTCCTCAGCCATCTGCCTGGCGATCTCGGAGGCGAGGCGGGAGACCACACCTAGGTTGAGCGTCTGGACCTCTGTGACAGGGCGACCACTCTCCCCGATGAGCCAAGTCTTCACCCGCTCTCTTGATGACCCGCCGCTGCTCGCCACCTGAGACACAACACCTCCATCTGACACCCTTGTATCACCAACACACAGTACAGGTATAGTTATCAGCGGGAGGCGCTACGCGAACAAACCTACACACAGATATCTCAAGCAGTTGCGTTAAGGGATACGAGGACACACGGAGCTGGGATCAAATGATTGTGTGAAGGAAGGTTGCCCATGTAACCACTTTGCATCATCGGGGGATCGAACGCAAACCCGCTGCATGAACGGTTATAGCGTGTGTGGTGTCACGTGCTAGTTATCTCACAGGGTGGTTCGTTATACCAGGGCATGCGGTAAACCAGGCCTTAGCACACTTCTAATACATAATGAGGATATTTTCAAGAGCACGAGAGTGGATAATGTTATTGGATAGCTTCAAACGGCCTCGTAACAGCAGGTCTAAAGGGTTGAATGACTGGACATTCAATTACGTAGTGTGGGAGTGACTGGACCCAATGGCTGATCGCACAAGAAATGAGAGATTCGTCACCTGTAACCACCTGCCACAGGCAACAGTGGCGCCACCTGCCACAGGCAAAGGGATCTCCACCTACCACAGGCAACAGTGGCGCCACCTGCCACAGGCAAAGGGATCTCCACCTACCACAGGCAACAGTGGCGCCACCTGCCACAGGCAACAGTGGCGCCACCTGCCACAGGCAACAGTGGCGCCACCTGCCACAGGCAAAGGGATCTCCACCTACCACAGGCAACAGTGGCGCCACCTGCCACAGGCAAAGGGATCTCCACCTACCACAGGCAACAGTGGCGCCACCTGCCACAGGCAAAGGGATTTCCACCTACCACAGGCAACAGTGGCGCCACCTGCCACAGGCAACAGTGGCGCCACCTGCCACAGGCAACAGTGGCGCCACCTGCCACAGGCAAAGGGATCTCCACCTACCACAGGCAACAGTGGCGCCACCTGCCACAGGCAAAGGGATCTCCACCTGCCACAGGCAACAGTGGCGCCACCTGCCACAGGCAACAGTGGCGCCACCTGCCACAGGCAAAGGGATCTCCACCTGATCCTCGGGGAGGGGGAGGAGACATATACTGCCCGGATAAAATTGAGAATAACAAAAGTGAGGATTAACGTGGAGGAAGAACTTAGTGGAGGTCACACACGGTAATAAAGTTCGCATGCAAAACTAAATGTTAATTCTGTTAAATTTCGATACAATACTGATAATATTTTTTTTCTCCCAGGGGCAATCTGAGTGCAAACCAAACTATATATATTATTAAAAGTTATACATTTAAGCACAATTATTAAAATGTTATGAATTTCTATAGCGTTTTCGAGTCGGGCTGATCCAAGCCATCCCCCATGTCGATGTGGCCAACCGGTGATCATCATCTCCTCTGTTTATCTCCCCAAAAACCCACGTTCGTCTCCCCTTGAGGAAGAACAGTGGGAAAGATAGCAAGATAAAGCTTACGTTTTGACCATTTCGACGAGTATTCATATTCTTTAACGTCCTCGTGTTCTTATGGTTCAATTGTGATTTATATTGCAACTTGGTTACAAAGACACTCTTGTAAGTACACACACACACACACACACACACACACGCGCACACATATATACACACACACACACACACACACACACAACACACACACACACACACACACCGTACAGGACCATAACACACTCCATTCGCCTGAGTTCTAGGAGACTCGAACCATGGATCCACACGTGTGTGTGAGGTTGAATTAAGCCACTTTCACCTCACAAGCCCTCTCTCCTCAACCCGTTCTCGCACTTTCGTATAGTCAATATTGACTTATTAAATACGTGCATATGTGACATACTAAACATACTAATTTACCTGGAAAAGCTTCATAGAAAACACCGACCTTACCTAACCTTCTTAGTATGTTAAGATAAGCATCTTATTGCTTCGTAATTACAATTATTACTTAACCTATTATAGGTATAGGTTAAGTAATAAATTATAATTACGAAGCAATAAGATGCTTATCTTAACATACTAAGAAGGTTAGGTAAGGTCGGTGTTTTCTATGAAGCTTTTCCAGGTAAATTAGTATGTTTAGTATGTCACATATGCACGTATTTAATAAGTCAATATTGACTGTAAGAAAGTGCAAGAACGGGTTGCTCTCCTTGCTGTCTGAAGCGCCCGCGCCCCCCCCCACCCCCAGGCCGCCCGCGAGCCTGCAGTGTGTGTGCACCTAGGCGAGCAAGTCGCGTTGATGAAGGCGTAGCAATAATTTGATCAACAACCATGCAACATCATGAGTGACTCTCCCAGCCAGTCAACATTGCCGAAACATGCATACATCACACCACCATTTCCCAGAGTGGGAGATGCGTTATCTTGAGATGATTTCGGGGCTTTAGTGTCCCCGCGGCCTGGTCCTCGACCAGGCCTCCACCCCCAGGAAGCAGCCCGTGACAGCTGACTAACACCCAGGTACCTATTTTACTGCTAGGTAACAGGGGCATAGGGTGAAAGAAACTCTGCCCATTGTTTCTCGCCGGCGCCTGGGATCGAACCCAGGACCACAGGATCATAAGCCCTGCGTGCTGTCCGCTCAGCCGACCGGCTCCCCCTTGCGTAGTTTAACCTATTATTTTGCAATTAAATTATTGCATTTTATCAGATACATTTTCAATCATATTAATTCATAATCAAATTATCGTATATATGAGTTTCGGAGAGATGTAGAAATTTGGGGAGAAGGCACTAAGGCCGATACGATTATATGGCAACTAGAAGGGAATTGAGGACTTAAGGAGTTGGGCTAGAGAGAAGGAAACATGCTCAGCCACCTGGACTGTCGGGAATCGAACTCAGACCAGCAAGAAGCGAGACCGTCACTGTAACTGCTAGTCCAAGTCATGGGGGTTGGTGGGGGGGGGGAGGGGGGAGTACTCTACAATGGCTTCCAGAGGAAAGATTCGTTTAGGAAGGATTTTGGGTATAAATTAGTGGTACATAATTGGAACACAGTAGAGAAGAGGGTTATATACTGGGCCTCCGTCATCCGGCTCAGGGGGAATGCTGCCGACAAATGCAGAATTAGAATGATCGTTGAGGGGCTAAATTAAGAGCTTTTAATTAAACCATTAATTGTGGGTAGTGTAGGAAGAGCCTCTCTCTCTCTCTCCCTCTCTCTCTCACCATTTCTTATTTCTTTTTGTCATTTCTATACCTTCCTTTCTCATATTCTATCTCTCCTATGGTTTCTTGTGCTCCTCCTCCTCCCCCTCCTTTTCTTGACCTGTTTCTTTCTTTTCTCTACTTCTCTTCTTCCTCCTCTCTTTCTCTCCCCCACCCCCTCCCCCAGCTTCCTCACTCCCTCTCCTCACTAACGAGGGGCCCAACTCACAGCCATGACACCTAATATCACCATAAACAAGACTGATGGTGATCCTGTCCTTCCGTCGCCGTCGTGGTGATGGTCCCTGGCAACACCTTCCGTGTTTAAGACCCCCCTTTCCCTTCCCTTCCCTTCCCACGGCACTCCTTCCCCCTTCCGTCGTAAGCTCCTGCCAGTAGCCTGAGCATAAGTACTGACTCACTTTCCCCGTAGAGAGGTAAGTACTCACTTGATTCTCGGTGGCCTCCGCCTCCTCCTCTGCCGGGAAGTAGGCCAGCTCGTCCTGGGCCGCCGTCTCCTCCATGTTGGTCCTCTGAGGGCGTGACCGAGGCACCAGGGCGTCGCTACGGGACTCCTGAGGGAGAGACGACGTGGCCGCTCGCCTCTCCGACCCCTGCAGAGGGCACGACTTGTTGGCCAGTTTGTCCAGCCTGTCAGGGAGAACGGGAAGACTTTTGGGGGGGGGGGGAGGAATCAGAAAACGAGGTTTCAGGGCATCCTGTCCTCTGGAAATATCGCATTTTTGTCGTCTAAATCCGCAACGAGATTTTATGATATGTGATTTATTGTGGCTCACGAGCATTACGGTTTTGTAGGCGTGGGTTCCTAAGTTAGCTTAGGTTCGGGTGTTTTAATACACCATTTTCTTGACCGTTGTGACGTCTCGAGAGGATTGTTCAGGGAGTGTGGGAAGAGATTTTCAGAAAAAACAGAAAACGGGAGAAGGGTTTAAGGGAGGTTCGAATATATATATATATATATATATATATATATATATATATATATATATATATATATATATATATATATATATAATATATATATAATATATATATATATATGTGTGTGTGTGTGTGTGTATCACGAAAATAAACACGTGATTAAGAATGTGACAATGTCAGACCACGGAGGAAAATGAAACAGGAATTTCCTAATTTTTTTTTTTTTCCTTAAGTACTTTCGTATATTAAATACATCTTCAGAAGGAATGATTTTACAGATCGAGTGATGGGTATAAATAGGCAGGAGGAGTGGTGAAGTGAGGTGAGGTACAATACTTGGACAACACAGACGGCCCATTGGCCCATCAGATGCACCCAATTGGCCCATCCGATGTAGCCCAATGGCCCATCTGATACAGCAGACATACAAGCACAATACATAGGTAATTATAACATAAAGAGGTAAATATATACAATGAATTAGTGAGACAAATGTTTTCCAATGATCCTACTTAAATCGCCCTTTAGCTGATCTATTAGAAATGGATCTAAGTTATATAGACCACTGCTAATATTCAAATTACTTTCTTTGGTGATCTGTATCAAAGCAGATTCAATTATGTTTCTGTTATAGGTGCTTTTACAATTTGTTATTGAAGAAGCACTCTCACAATCAATTTGGTGAGCTTTTTCTGACAAATGCACAAACAAAGCATTAGACAATTGGCCATGTCTTACAGAGTATTTATGTTGCGATATTCTACATTTTAAATCTTAGAGTGTTTGCCCGACATAGAACTTATTACATTCCTTACAAGGTATTTTATAAATGACGCAATTATCACTACGAGGGCTGTTCCTAACTAATAGCTTACCAACAGTGTTTTCGTAGCTAAACATTACATCTATATTAAAAAGTTTCAAGGCCTTAACAATATTCTCAAACCCAGAGAAATATGGTAAACATAACACATTCTTTGGGCGAATCCTTTCACTGCATACATTATTATAATATGTACGACGTGCTTTGTTACGACAAACTTCCAAAAAATTCAGTGGGTAACAAAGCTTAAGACCAATCGAATCAATATTCTTAAATTCTTCGTCTAAGAATTCTGGACTCACAACTCGAAGAGCTCTTAGATACATTGAAGAAAAAATTGACTTTTTTACATTGTATCTATGCCCTGAAAAATAATGAACATAAGATAAATTATTCGTAGGTTTATAGGAAATTAGGAATAGGAAATTCCTGTTTTCATTTTCCTCCGTGGTCTGACATTGTCATATATATATATATATATATATATATATATATATATATATATATATATATATATATAATATATATATATATATATATTCTATATAAATGTTGAACTGGATTTCAAGAGGAGCACACAGGTCCCTCCCAACCGGTCGTTAGACAGTGTTAAAGGACCCAGCCAGCTGTAGTTGATCTCCTGCTGCATGGGACGCTGGGGGAGGGTGTGTGTGTGTGTGTGTGTGTGTGTGTGTGTGTGTGTGTGTGTGTGTGTGTGTGTGTGTGTGTGTGGTGTGTGTGTGTGGGTGTATGTGTGTGTGGTGTGTATGTGTGTGTGTGGTGTGTATGTGTGTGTGGTGTGTATGGTGTGTGTGGTGTGTTGTGTGTGTTGGTGTGTGTGTGGTGTGTGTGTGTGTGTGGTGTGTGGGTGTGTGTGTGTGTGGTGTGTGTGTGTGTGGTGTGTGGTGTGTGTGTGGTGTGTATGTATGTGTGTGTGGTGTGTGTGTATGTGTGTGTGTGTGTGTGTGTGTGTGTGGTGTGTGGTTGGTGTGTGTGTGTGTGTGTGTGTGTGTGTGCGTGCGTGCGCGCGCTTGCGTGTGTGTGTGTGTGTGTGCTTGTGTATTGGGCGTGTTAGTACAGTATTGTCAGTATAAATTTAATCCAAATATTAAATAATTTATTTACATTAATTGATATATATGTTAGAAGTATGTAATCAAACCCCGCGCTCAAAACTGTGAAACAATTCCAATGTCAACACACAGTATGGACAATATAACACAGTAGATCAATAATTCAAACAATCGAGAAATTATTACATACATAATACAAATGTATTTGAAAAGTATGATTTTTTTTTTTAAACAGTATAGGCAATTCTTTATCACAAAATTGAATAACCGACGCTCACAGAACACACACTGGGCGTGTTCATTTGTTCTAAAAATGTTCAGGAATACAATGATATTGTCAGAGTTTTGGCGGATTTACGAAGTATTGGGGGATCGAGCTCTGAGCCCGCAAGAGTCTAAGCCTATGACGGACAATCGCAGTGGCTGGTGTTTTGCAATCACACACACACATAGTTTTCATAAATAAAATTACCATGAACTAACGGACTTGGAATGAAAACCCCGAAAACGACTTGCTCAGTTAATATAATAATGAGCGGGAACTTTAAATTAACATATGTTAATTTCACTACGGGTATATTACTCTTTTCAACAAATGAGCTCATCTTCAGGCCCATGAGCAGTAAAACTACCACCCGCTCATCTCATGAAGTATCTTTGAGTCCTGACGTCGCCTGTAGCACAAATTTCCAACCCCCAAATGCTATCTATGCCTGACTACATGGAAAATATTTAACATGTTGAAGAACTCAACACTGCACAGCACGCTCCTGTGCCAAGTAAGCTACGGGCTCACCATAGCCCGTGCTACTTGGAACTTGTTCCGAGTAACTGAATCTATAACAACAACAACTCAACAGTGCTGAGTCCGTCTTGACTTTACGGACGAAGTGGAACGACAAGGCGACGCCGCTGAGTGCGTGGACTGAGTGTGCGAACTGAGTGTGTGAACTTATACGAACTCGTGTCTTTTGAGTCCGCGAGAGCCTATACTGACTGTCGCAGCTACTTGAAAAGACTTACGTGTTAAGGATGAGAACGCTGTCGAGTCCTGCGATAGCCATCCGACGGTCGAGGTCCAAGTGGGACTTCTTCAGCGCCTCCGTCGTCCGGTTCTCCAGCGTGGCCAGGTCCTCCTTGAACCTCCGCTCCGTTGACTGGGCCAAGGAGAAGGGAAAAAAATATATTCGTGGAGGGGAATTACAAGGGGGAAGCTTAATCTTGGTCTCATTCTCTCGATATTATTATCATACACTCTCTCTTCTTCTTCTTCTTCTCTCTCTCTCTCTCTCTCTCTCTCTCTCTCTCTCTCTCTCTCTCTCTCTCTCTCTCTCTCTCTCTCTCTCTCTCTCTCTCTCTCTCTCTCTCTCTCGCTGCCGGAGACTTTATTATGCAGGGTAAAGACTCCGTCTCTGCATTTCGTTACTTAAACGAGTCTCTTGACGGCCTTTAATAATATGTTCCAGCTTGCCGTTTTCTCGGATAATGACTAAAAAAAAATTTTTAAAACCGTCTTACACCAGTTCTTTAAAAGGCGCCGCCCTTGACTCTTCCCCTTGGGCTGACTAAACTTGTGAAGTGTACATGTAGCATAGGACATAGTTACTGGCAAAGTGAAGTTAGTGTTGTCATGTGAGCGCCTAAGTTAGAGACCTTTCTAAGCCCCTCTACTCTCTCTCTCTCTCTCTACTCTTTCTCTCTAATGTTTTCCGTCCTTTGCAACATCATTTTCTGTCTTCAACGTGTTTCTCTCTCTCGCTTCCTCCAATTCAAGAAGCGGGTGAGGGGTTGTGGGGAGATGGGGGGAGGTCCTCTGATGGGTTCACAGCTAGTCTATCAGGCTGCTCGCTCGTGGCTGTGGTCCCTTGCTTTCCCTTGCAAATTAACTGCAGAGCAGGCTTTGCAATTCTCATTCTGTCTCTGTCTCTGTCTCTGTCTGTCTGTCTCTCTCTCTCTCTCTCTCTTAGCTTTAATAAACCGCGTGTATGCGTGCGTGTGTGTGTGTGTGTGTGTGTGTGTGTGCATACGTGCTTGTGTTTCTATGTGCATACGTGTTTGTATGTGTGTGTATGCCACCTGATCCTGGTTCCTTTCATGTGGAAACTTCTTTAGTATTTTGTACGACGTGATCATATCGTCCTTCGCATTAGTTCTCTCCCTTGTCATTGGATCCGGATAATTTAATCCTTCCGCGTATCTTATCTCTTCCAGACCCGACACCACTCTGTTGACAAACCTTTAAACTCTTATCCCGAGTTGGTGTTCACAGATAAATGAGAGGTCCAGGCTGGCTTGAGCTCTCAAGGTCTGGGTTTATCATAAAAAAAAAGTCAAGTGCAGTTCTGAATAATTCATTATATTCAAGATTCGGAAGGCAGTCTATAAACGCGTGAAAGCATTGCATGTTCCGCTGATGATATGCTGTTTGGATGTGCTCCAGGATGCAAGTTTGGTAGTGTAAGGTTCTACTTACAGCGGCCATTGGTACTTGAGAGCTGTTCTCCCGTCAGGCAGTAGGTTATTTCTGACCTATATTATATCTGCTATTTTTTCCTCATATACTTAGTATCATTACCTTACACGTGTAAGGTTGAACTCTAGGGGTCACTTGATGGGTCAATTCTGCTGTCTGTCTCCTGAAGCAGTTCGTATGTGTACTCACTCACACACCACAAACACCCATATAATTCGCGCTTTTAACATAAACTCTCCAATGTTAACACAATGCTACGCTGTCGGGAATATTTTTTGCAACAACCGATACAATCTCTTGCATTCAGCAGGCCTGAGTTACATTCATTTTCCGCGTTTCAGATGCCATAATCTCGTTAGCACAATTACGCAAGCCTAAAGTTAAATATGCATATCCATTTCCATTTATAATTTCCTCCGATGTTCGTTCACAAAGGCCCGGCCCCCAGACAGGTCTTCAAGCCCCGGCGTAGAGCCACGTTCTTTGCTGGAGTGATCGGCCCAGAGATTAATTCAGACGGTGATTCGGCCAACTAATATACCTGAATTTAGGCAATCCTTGTGAGGAATATTGTGTATTATGTGTTATTCCCAGAGAGAGAGAGAGAGAGAGAGAGAGAGAGAGAGAGAGAGAGAGAGAGAGAGAGAGAGAGAGAGAGAGAGAGAGAGAGAAATAAAGACAAAGACACAGAAACAAGAATTACATTTCCTGGATGCCATATTCAGATACGAAGCGACAGTAGTGTGGCATAGACTCCTGGAGCAAAGGTTCGTGTGTGTGTGTGTGTGTGTGTGTGTGTGTGTGTGTGTGTGTGTGTGTGTGTGTGTGTGTGTGTGTGTGTGTGTGTGTGTGTGTGTTTTGTGTGTTTGTCGTCGTGTTTTGTGAGCGTTCTACCGTGTGTGAACCCGGGTAGACCAGCGTTCATCTCCCGGACCATCACGATCCAACCCTCCAGCAAATATCTCCCTGGACTCTGATGTCGAGTATATATATGCAACATTTTCTCCTCCCGAGCGAGCTGCCTTACCCTCCCACTGAGATAATACCGTGAGTCTGGATTGCCTCGAGCCCAGGAGGAGGTCGTCAAGGACTCTCCATTATCCGAAATTGTCTCCGTTATCAATTTCTCGCCAGTTTTGGATTCCCCCTTGCGCGAGGAAGCTGAATCTTGTTTCATACACGACTTGAGGGCTGGTGATTGGTGGCGTCTTGTTGCTCCTGGCTGGCGGTGTCTCAATTTAGTTGTATATATGTAATTCCAGCTATTTCTTTCTTTTCCTATAAGGTGAATGGGGTGTTTTTAATTGCCTCGGGGACTGGGCGGTCTCTTCTGATACGCATTGGTGTAGTTGAGGTCGGGTTTACGAGCGCCTGCAGAAGTCTGGTGTCGATTTAACGACTTCGAGGCTGACGGGTCTCATGTTTATGTGGGATATATTGGGCCCTCTTGCGCCGGCCTCCTCCTTCTCCTTCTTTTGGTGGCTGCTGATGACCTCCCGTGGTGAGATCACCTTGGTGAGGTGATGCTCCGGGATGCTGTGGTGAGATGAGGCTCCGAGATGTCCTGTAAAGCCGACACTGCAGGATGCTAACATGCATCTATGTCGCATGATGAACACCCTATAGTATATATATGTATATATATATACCATAGGCCATACACACACACACTAATTATCTCTCTCTCTCTCTCTCTCTCTCTCTCTCTCTCTCTCTCTCTCTCTCTCTCTCCTCTCCTCTCTCTCTCTCTCTCTCTCTCTCTCTCTCCCTCACCTGAAGTCTGTTGTTGATGGAGCTGACAGCATCTCTGACAGCATCAGTGACCTGGGACAGATCCTGGTGCACAGCGGCCTGTGGGTAGTCCTCAGAGTCCTGAAGGTCAGGCCTGCAGGAAGCAACGGAGCGTCGTTAGCACCCTAAAAAATACTTTAGGTCACGACTTGTTAGTCGAGTGACGGGGAGGATATAAATGTATAGATTAAGATGATGACGGAGATTAGGGGTTACACAGGTTCTTTGAGGGAGCGTGCTTGGAGGGGTATTGTACAGAGCACTTAAGGGATGATGCTATACACGCCGGTGCCGCTACAGCGCCTCCTATAGGGGGGGACCGTGTCCCCCGTGAAGGCATTAATATCCACATCCGTCTCTTCAACACCTCCCTCAGGAGACGCAGGAGAGGAGGACGACAGTCAACATGACGGCTCTCGCAGATGAGAAACGGGCGCCAGGGAGACTTTGATGTCAGGCGCAGCGGCTTGTTCCGAGAGAGAGAGAGAGAGAGAGAGAGAGAGAGAGAGAGAGAGAGAGAGAGAGAGAGAGAGAGAGAGAGAGAGAGAGAGAGAAGGAAGAATAACCATGTCTGTGCACCAAACACATCATATAGATGGATGTAGTAAGCGTTCAACATTTACAAAGACTTACTGAATTGGATCTGAAATTGAATGTTATCCCGTGAGTGGCACAGAGACATAGGCACCACCGGGGAGGAGGAGGAGGCACAGCTCTCGGTACATCTGTGCCACCAAGTCGCTATATACAGAGGCGGAAAGTGGGGGAGGATGAAGATATTTTCAATAGAGGAGTTTCCAGGCTGATCTGAGAAATGCCTCAATACAGATATTACCAAGATATTCGTGTATACTTAAGACAAAACAAATTCCTTAAACATACACATTTCTCGATAATCTATACTCAGTTCACAGCGAAAATGGGGGGGGTGGAATATTTTGGAATAATATGTGATAAGGTTTGGAAGTAATGATAGAGAATTGACATTTTTTTGAGGGGGGGGGGGGGGGAGTGTTTGGGGGGAGGAGGGGGTGATTGGGGAAAGGGGAGGGGGGGGAACACGATCTCGTGACATCAGTTGTGATGTCACGTGGCATATGGCAGATGTCAAAACATATATTACAATACAGCATAACTATTACAACAATGACGTCATATATGGAGTGATTAGACTGTTGTGTGCTTCAGTTAGTATACAGCTAGATACTTGTGGAAAGATTTTGTGTGAAATGGAGACAAAATATATTATGCTCTTATAGCATATATATATATATATATATATATATATATATATATATATATATATATATATATATATATATATATATATATATATATATATATATAAACATGAGGAATAAGCAATATAAATTGTGAGGAACAAATACCTCACAATTTTCGTGAATTATATAAAGATACTGAAATAATTAATATCAGAATTTATCCGTGTTTGTGTATAAGTAGATGCCAAATGATAGATGATAAGTAGATGTCGGTAGATAAGTAGATGACATATGTTAGATGATGTCGGTAGATAAGTAGATGGCATATGTTATATATAATGGTCACATGTTTAATTATGACACATGAAGCCAAGGGAACTCAAGCTTCAGGGATGGTAATAGAAGCTATGGCATCAAATGTATCCTAGGTGAGTGTGAAGCCCCGTCTAATGTCTCCTAGGTGAGTATGAACTCCCGTCTAATGTATCCTAGGTGAGTATGAAGCCCCGTCTAATGTATCCTAGGTGAGTATGAAGCCCCGTCTAATGTATCCTAGGTGAGTATGAAGCCCCGTCTAATGTCTCCTAGGTGAGTATGAACTCCCGTCTAATGTATCCTAGGTGAGTGTGAAGCCCCGTCTAATGTATCCTAGGTGAGTATGAACTCCCGTCTAATGTATCCTAGGTGAGTATGAACTCCCGTCTAATGTATCCTAGGTGAGTATGAAGCCCCGTCTAATGTATCCTAGGTGAGTATGAAGCCCCGTCTAATGTATCCTAGGTGAGTATGAAGCCCCGTCTAATGTATCCTAGGTGAGTATGAAGCCCCGTCTAATGTATCCTAGGTGAGTATGAAGCCCCGTCTAATGTATCCTAGGTGAGTATGAACTCCCGTCTAATGTATCCTAGGTGAGTATGAAGCCCCGTCTAATGTATCCTAGGTGAGTATGAAGCCCCGTCTAATGTGTCCTAGGTGAGTATGAGGCCCCGTCTAATGTATCCTAGGTGAGTATGAAGCCCCGTCTAATGTATCCTAGGTGAGTATGAGGCCCCGTCTAATGTATCCAAAGCCACTAGGACACACCGTCTAATGTATCCAAGACGACTAACAGCGACTAGAGCGAGAGCAATAGCCAAAAAAGTCGGTACTAACGCCGCCGAATTTGTACCAATCCCTTCAATACACACATTGAAAAGTAAACAAAAGGGCCCATTAACCTGTTTCAGTGTTGTTACTAATAATAGACAATGGTTCACTGAGTTTAATCCATGTTACGTGAGACATATTCCGGGTGCACTTGAGGTCAATGTGGGGTGTGAAGAGCACGAAGAGGCTCTTGTGGATTGAGGACAAGGTGGTCAGGTGTCTACAATGGATCTTCATGGGTCAAATATCAGGTCAAGCAGGCAGAGGGGAGGGGGCTTTATAAGCTAGAGGAGAAGTGATTAAATGAGGTCATCCTCTTAGAGGTCAGGTCAGGGAGCTGAAGAAGACTTGGAATACTTGACAAAAGAGAGAGGGGGGGGTTAAAGGTTTATTTTTGTGGTATGATATTAGAGTCAGACTTACTGACTGACTAGTAAGTCTATTGTGGTGTTGAACAAAGTATACTCTCAGTGTATGGCCCAGACTCGGGGGCATACTTCTCGTGCCTATCATATCCGGTACTCACGCCATGTTGTCCTGGGTGGGGCGGTGATCACTGCGGTGAGGCAGTGACCTGTCCAGGGCGGCCAGGCGGGTGTCCAGGCTGGCCACCTGCTTCACTGTAACGTAACCACAAGAACATGAGGTTGTTTACAACTCATATCCTTGCTACAAAAGTTCAAATGAGGTCTTTTTAAGAATAATTAGTCGAGTTTCTGGAGTTAATGAGTCAAGTTTAATCGCGGAAAACCTGCAGCTTGTCCTCATATATCCAGCCCGTCCTCATAACCCAGCCTGTCCTCATATATCCAGCCCGTCCTCATGAACCCAAATCATCCCCATAAACAAAGAGGCAAATGCTCGTTAATGTAGCAGCCAAACACCCTGTTTATGAAAGTCCCTTTACAAACGACTTTAACAACTGATGCTGTTCGAATATCTCTCGAACAGTTCTTGCTGACGACCTGTTCGAATCCCACCAACAGCCAAATGCTTCACCCACGCACTACATACATAAAGAATTGCCAACAGAACCTAAGACACTTAACCCAATCTAATCTACGCGTAACTCTACACCAAATTCTAATTGCATAATTTACAATACCATTTGAGAAAATGATGATTTGGAATTCATAGTACGTTATCTTGAGGTTATCTTGAGATTATTTCGGGGCTTTAGTGTCCCCGCGGCCCGGTCCTCGACCAGGCCTCCACCCCCAGGAAGCAGCCCGTGACAGCTAACACCCAGGTACCTATTTTACTGCTAGGTAACAAGGGCATAGGATGAAAGAAACTCTGCCCATTGTTTCTTGCCGGCGCCTGGGATCGAACCCAGGACCACAGGATCACGAGTGCAGCGTGCTGTCCGCTCGGCCGACCGGCTCACCAGCGTTACAGTGGATGAATACGGGGTTGGGGTTCGGTGGCAGCTTAGACGAGCATATAGTCTGACGACGAGGTGATACAGTCATATTTATTTGTAATTGAGATACAAAAAATATATTTTGTATTCCATTGCGCGAGAAATATTAAGGAATAGAGTCTTGGGGGGCGGTCGCTATTTGGAAGTACCTGGTTTAAAGCACCCGGTTTAAAGCCCCTGGTTTAAAGCACTTGGTTTAAAGCACCCGGTTTAAAGCCCCTGGTTTAAAGCACCTGGTTTAAAGCACCCGGTTTAAAGCCCCTGGTTTAAAGCACCCGGTTTAAATAACCTGGTTTAAAGCCCCTGGTTTAAATCACCTGGTTTAAAGCACCCGGTTTAAATCACCTGGTTTAAAGCACCTGGTTTAAATCACCTGGTTTAAAGAACCCGGTTTAAAGCACCCGGTTTAAAGCACCTGGTTTAAATCACCTGGTTTAAATAACCTGGTTTAAAGCACCTGGTTTAAAACACCCGGTTTAAAGTACCCGGTTTAAAGCATCTGGTTTAAATCACCTGGTTTAAAGCACTTGGTTTAAGGGACCCATTTTAAAGCATCCGGTTTAAAGCACCTGGTTTAAAGCACCCGGTTTAAAGCACCTGGTTTAAAGCACCCGGTTTAACGCACCCGGTTTAAAGCCCCTGGTTTAAAGCACCTGGTTTAAAGCCCCTGGTTTAAAGTACCCGATTTAATGCACCCGATTTAAAGCACCTGGTTTAAAGAACCTGGTTTAAAGCACCTGGTTTAAAGCACCCGGTTTAAAGCACCCGGTTTAAAGCACCCGGGTTAAAACACCCGGTTTAAAGCACCTGGTTTAAAGCACCTGGTTTAAAGCACCCGGTTTAAAGCACCTGATTTAAAGCACCTAATTTAAAGCACCTGGTTTAAAGCCCCTGGTTTAAAGCACTCGTTTTAAAGCCCCTGGTTTAAAGCACCTGGTTTAAAGCACCCGGTTTAAAGCCCCCGGTTTAAAGCACCTGGTTTAAAGCCCCCGGTTTAAAGCACCTGATTTAAAGCACCTGGTTTAAATCACCCGGTTTAAAGCACCAGGTTTAAATCACCTGGTTTAAATAACCTGGTTTAAAGCCCCCGGTTTAAAGCACCTGATTTAAAGCACCTGGTTTAAAGCACCCGGTTTAAAGCACCTGGTTTAAAGCACCTGGTTTAAAGCACCTGGTTTAAAGCACCTGGTTTAAAGCACCTGGTTTAAAGCCCCCGGTTTAAAGCCCCTGGTTTAAAGCACCTGGTTTAATGCACCTGGTTTAAAGCCCCTGGTTTAAAGCCCCCGGTTTAAAGCACCCAGTTTAAAGCCCCTGGTTTAAAGCACCTGGTTTAAAGCACCCGGTTTAAAGCCCCTGGTTTAAAGCACCTGGTGGCCTATTTATGTTATGCAAAGCCTGTAAAGAACGATTAATAACCAACCTCCTTTAATACATATACAAATGAGTTACGTGAAGGATCTTTCAATGATTTTCCCAAGTACCGCACTTGAGGCTTAGTTAATGAGTCTTTACCCGGGCCCAGTGACGACAGACTTGTGAAGCAGCTCTCCTGTGACGCTGGCTTCATCCCTTGCCTGAAGCCTCCTCAAGTTCTTCTGTTTCTCTCGTTTTATTGGTCAACGAGCATGTGGACTCATCAACAGAGGCCAAATGCTCGTTAATCTAACCCCCTTCCGCCCTAACCCCCCATCCCCCCTGAGTTTATGAATGAAAACCCGGTTTATGCACGATACACAACTGGTGATGTTCGAACATTTTCTCGAACACAAATTCGATTACGACCTCTGTTCGAATCGCCACTTTGGAAATGCTTCATCCACGTAGTACAAATACAGATAATTTCCAACAGAACTAACTCAACCAACGCCTAAATATGCACAATATGCTAATATAATATTATTAATTTATATTTGAGAAGGTTAATGTTTTGAATGAACACAATGTTAAAATTGGTGAATGCGTTTTTGGGGTCGGCCGCTGGATGGAATGAAGACAGCTTGAGGATAGGGTTATGCTGCTGCTTGTACAAATTACTTTCATTAAGTAAAATTTTAAATGCAATAATAATTGGGATAAACATAAAATACAGATACTTTATGTTTACTTTAAAAAGATATATATATACCTGTTTAAATCAATAATGGTGAGTCAAGTTGGACAGGGGACAGAATATATCTTTTTATATGTCTACTCATCTCACAAGTTTCTTGGAATATATGCCTCAAAGTGTTTGATATAGGTAATCTTTAATTTGTAATTTTGTGTTCACACACACACACACACACACACACACACACACACACACACACACACACACACACACACACACACACACACACACACACACACACACACACACACAGACTGAACAATGTCCTATAATCCGCTTTTATCTAATCTTCCACTGTACCTTTTCCATTCTACCTCCTACCCCAATCCTTCCTTTTCCATATGCTTTTCATTCACCTTCTATCCTCCTCTCCTCTGTACTAGTTTTGCTTCTTATCAATAACTTTCTCTTTAACTTTCTCTAATCTCTTTCTAATTGACCTTCTCTTCTTCAATGTTCTTTCTCTCTTGCTTTCTTACCCACGTTTAATTCTTACTCTTTCGTTACAATTTAAGAGTATTCTTCCCTTCCACAAATCTCTCTCTCTCTCTCTCTCTCTCTCTCTCTCTCTCTCTCAGATACTCCTCCATCTTCCCTTCCCTCCCCTTCCCTTCCTCTTCAACATTCCCTTTTCCACGCATTATCACCTTTCCCACAAGACCAGTCTTTTTCGCCTTGCCTTTTCCCACCGCCCTTTCCCCTTCCTATCACACCCTCCCATTTCCCCCACCAACCTCCTCCTGCTCCTCTCCCACTCACCAAGTTCCATGGTGTTCCTGGAGATGTCTCCCACAGCAGCACGGAGCTCCCCATACTCCGTCAGTAACTTGCTCTGTATATGTTCCAACGTTCCAAGCTGCAGGAAAGAAATTAAGAACGTATATATATATATATATATATATATATATATATATATATATATATATATATATACATATATATATATATATATATATATATATATATATATATATAATATATATATATATATATATATATATATATATATATATATATATATATTATATATATATATATATATATATATATATATATATATATATATATATATATATATATATATATATATATATATATATGACGTGATACATAGCACAAACACAAAGCGAAAACACATAAATACAAGAGTTCTTAAGTAGGGTTAAAAAATTTATGTATATAAAACTCCTTCAGCTTTTTTTTTTTGACACCATCACATGAGCTGGTTGCCTAGGTAACACAGCTGGTAGTGATAGGGGATAGGGGAGGGAGGGAGGGAGAGAGGGAGGGAGGGAGGGAGGGAGGGAGGGAGAGAGAGAGAGAGAGAGAGAGAGAGAGAGAGAGAGAGAGAGAGAGAGAGAGAGAGAGAGAGAGAGAGAGAGAGAGAGAGAGAGAGAGAGAGAAGGGGGATAGGGAAAGTCTGGATAAGGATTCTGAATCAGGCATCATAGTGGAAACTGAATGTGTGTGTGACTGCAGCAAGGAAGTGTAAACAACCGAGTCCTGCATGCAACTGACTGGTAGACTGGTAGACTGGTAGACTGGTAGGTGAAACAACTCACCAACCTACCCCCCTCCCTCACCTAATACGTCTCATTTCCAACGCAAATCACCCACTTCGCGAAGAATATGACGTAATAGATACAAAATAAATCACCTTAAATCATACGTTTACCACACTACCGACGCTGGTAGAATCTACCAGTCTACCAGTCCGGTGTGTGTGAGAGAAGGCGGGGGGGTAGACCTAATACCTGGCGGTGGATGTTGTCGGTGAAGGTATCAAGTCTGACGAGCCTGAGGGCGGTGTCGAGGGGCTGCAATTGCACCTCCAGGGCTTGGTTCACCACCTGCTGGAGCTCCGCCAGGGACACCTTGCGCCGCCCTCCGCCGCCTCCGCCCGTCGTGCCTTTGGAAGGAAACCAGATAACAACCATTAGCTAGCTTCAAATAGGTGAGTACAAATAGGTGAGTACACACACACACACACACACACACACACACACACACACACACCACACACACACACACACACACACACACACACACACACACACACACACACACACACACACACACACACACACACACACACACACACACACACACACACACACACACACACATACACACATACAGAGGGGGTCTAAGATTCTAAAAGCAAAAATCTGAATTTTAAACACTTATTTTACAAGAAATGAAGGCACGTTGTATCATTGAATTGCTCAACCGACAGTTTGAAAGGAGGAATCCGAGAGCTGGAGCTCGATCTTGTAAAGTCAGTTTGATTACAAAGAAATACGTTGTAGGTATGATCTTGTTTACAGCATATGACAGACCAATTGTAACAGAGGTGTTTATATATCGTAAACACGAGACATAACTGGTGAAAGTCCAAAGATATGCCACCAGACTAGCCCCAGAGCTGAGAGACAACCTGGTCCCCAGAGCTGAGAGACAACCTAGCCCCCCTAGAGCAGAGAGACAACCTAGCCCCCATTAGTCTTCCTCCAGTCACCTTAACAGACTGTGGGAAACGGCTCCGGCTAGGTTACATACCGGCCCTACACCCGAACACCTCACAGCTGCCACTCAATGATGGAACGCCGCCCTCTGCCTCTTCCTTAGTGTCCAAACTATACATTCTCCAACTTATATTGTCTCGATATTCTGGACGCTCGTGTGTCTTGCTTTCTTGATCTCTCCCTTAATCAAGGGGTCATCTGCCCCTTGATATAATACTTGGGGGGCCCTGATATCGTTGATATCGCTCGCCTTGTGTGCTTGTTTGTGTTCCGGTACTGGTATGTTAGGTATTGACCACCTTCGAAATACCCAGCGACAGTGATGGTGTTACATTATTTTTCCCGGCATGGCGCCTTCTTTTAGTAATTATTTACGAAACCCGTACATCTTTCCTCAATTATTGCGGCTCTGTTTACATTTATTAAAATCAGTTTGTGTATATCATAACCCAAGGTTATTGTTATAAACTATCTCGTAGTGCTTCGGAGCTCATTTGGAGCATACCCGGAGCATACCTGGAGAGGATTTTCGAGAGTTATGCTACTCCCCGAGCCCGGCCTGGGGCCAGACTCGACTTGTGATAACTTGGTCCAACAGGCTGTTGCTTGAAGCGGCCCGCAGGCCCACATATCCACTAAGATCTGGTTGATCTGGCACTTCTTGCAAGAACTTATTTAATTGCCTCTAGAATACATCCACCTTTGTTCTAGCAATATTTCTAATGCTTGCTGGGAGGGTGTTGAGCAGCTGTGGACCTCTGATGTTCAGTGTTCTCTGGTTGTTCCTATGGTACCTCTACTCTTCACTGGTTCTATTCTGCATTTCCTTCCGTATCTTTCGCTCCAGTATGTTGCTATTCTAGTGCTAATTTGGGATCTGGCCTTCAAGGATCTTCCATGTATATATTATTTGATACCTCTCTCGTCTCCTTTCAAAAGAGTACATTTTGAGAGCTTTAGACGGTCCCAATAATTTAGATGTTTTATCGTGCCTAAGTGTACCGTATATGTTCTCTGTATTCCCTCTAATCCAGAGATGTCTCCTGCTCTGACGGGGGAAATGAGTACCAAGCAGTACTCAAGACAGCACCATGCAGTGATTTAAACAGTATTAGCACTACTGTGGCGGGTCTCTGAAGTTAAGCATCATCAACCGTCTATCAAACGTAAACAAAGCTGCCAAAGATGCACAATAGGTTCCGAAAATGGATGCGTAAATAGCTGATGAGTCGTGAACCTCTAGAATAGTGGTGAGTGGTAGAGTTACTCACGAGCGTCTATGGTCAGCGCAGCTTTAACTGTCCCCCCCTGTCCCCTGTCCCCTGTCCCCTGTCCCACGGGGTCAAGAATAGTTAATCTCTTGACAGGGAAAGTTGCCACCCTAGCTAACCCTCAGGTTATCGTCACCCCTAACTATAATGGCTATCCTCACCCCTCACACGTCGTGGCTATCCTCCCCCTCACACGTCGTGGCTATCCTCACCCCTCACAAGTCGTGGCTATCCTCCCCCTCACACGTCGTGGCTATCCTCACCCCTCACACGGCGTGGCTATCGTCACCCCTCACAGGTCGTGGCTATCCTCACCCCTCACAAGTCGTGGCTATCCTCACCCCTCACACGTCGTGGCTATCCTCACCCCTCACACGGCGTGGCTATCGTCACCCCTCACACGGCGTGGCTATCCTCACCCCTCACAAGTCGTGGCTATCCTCACCCCTCACACGTCGTGGCTATCCTCACCCCTCACACGGCGTGGCTATCCTCACCCCTCACACGGCGTGGCTATCCTCACCCCTCACAAGTCGTGGCTATCGTCTCCCTGAACACATTCACAGTTCAAAGTGAGGTCTATAAAAATGTTTATTAACTCCCACTGCTCATTTGCATTCGACATATCTTTCATCTGAACTAATTTTCTGCTATGCGCTTCCATTATTTATTTCTATTATACATTTCTCATACATAAATAGTGAAGCAGTTTCCTCTGGCAGCCAGGCAAGTTTAGTGTATACGTGTATATATATGTATAAAAGTGTATGTATATATATATATGGTCTTTTGTATCACTGCACATGTGTATCGTTACACATGTATATCATTACACATGTGTATCATTGCACATGTGTATCACTACATATGTGTATTGTTACACATGTGTATTATTGCACATGTGTATCATTGCACATGTGTATCACTACATATGTGTATTGTTACACATGTGTATCATTGCACATGTGTATCATTACACATGTGTATCACTGGACATGTGTATCACTGCACATGTGTATCATTGCACATGTGTATCACTACACATCTGTACCACTACCACTACACTACAAGGGCGCTGGTAGCTGAGTGGACAGTGCTCGGGACTCGTAATCCTGTTGCCTGGGTTCGATCCCGGCGCCGGTGAGAAACAATGGACAGATTTTCTTTCACCCTGATGCCTCTGTTACCTAGCAGTAAATAGGTACCTGGGAGTTAGTCAGCTTCTACGGGCTGCTTCCTGGGTGTGTGTGTGAAAAAAAATTAGTAATTAGTAACAGTTGATTGATTGACAGTTGAGGCGGGACCAAAGAGCCAAAGCTCAACCCCCACAAGCACAACTAGATGAATACAACTAGGTGAGTTCCCTGTACCACTATACAGCTGTATAACGCTGTACACTGTTCAATTTTATTATATGTGACATCTATTGTATTATATGTGACATCTATTGTATTATATGTGACATCTATTGTATTATATGTGACATCTATTGTATTATATGTGACATCTATTGTATTATATGTGACATCTATTGTATTATATGTGACATCTATTGTATTATATGTGACATCTATTGTATTATATGTGACATCTATTGTATTATATGTGACATCTATTGTATTATATGTGACATCTATTGTATTATATGTGACATCTATTGTATTATATGTGACATCTATTGTATTATACAAAACTAACATTTTGTTAAAAAAAAGTCTACACATCAAAAAATTACTGTATGTTATACTCTCAGATAAGACAAAAAATGTTTGTTTGTTTGTTTGTTTGTTTATATAAATGGTGATAAGTTGCACAATCACTTGTTATTTGATATATACAAATAAACCACTGGATAAATCTGCAGTTAAAAATGAAGACGAGAATATGGTTCAATATATCGTATTCTGCTTATGTAAAAAAAATGCAGTTTCTTTCTGCTTTGATATTCCACTTTTCTCCTCTTCCCCCCTTCTTCTTCTTCCCCCTCCCCCCCCCCTTCCTCTTCCCCCTCCTCCTTATCTTCCTCCTCCTCCTCTACTTCACCCTCTTTTCCTAACGCAACAAGTAGTAGTCTACCCACTTCAAGACCCCGAGCCAACACAGAGACAATAGAAGCTAGAACATATTGGCTATTAATAATGGTCTATTAATAGCCATTATGTTTCATCCACTTGTTCATCTCAATCACGTCCTGTACCACCTCACACCCAAGAGAATATAAGCTTGTGCTAAAGCATTGTAAATTTGTCTTTGAAAATGTAAGGAGTGCCTTGCGAAACGCATCCCTAGGCGTCAGACCATATTGTGAAAATGAACTTTGGAGAGTTAATTTTTCAACTTCCCTCGACAGTGAAGAAAAGGAAATATTGAGAATATTCGTGTTAGAATCATTAATCTTACTCTTTCGGTCATATTTAGAAGGGGGTAAAAATTGGAGGCTAGACTCAGACTCTTGGAGCTAGCCTTCCTTAAATTTGCAAGAGGACTGGTCTGGGATACAGGACCGACATAGGCTAGTTGGAATAGGCCTAAGTTGAATACTTTAAGAAATATTATAATTTTTAGACCCCTCCTCAAGACCCCCCTCCCAGACGGAAAAGTCAACATTACCTCGTGTCCACCTCACCCTAAACCTCTCCCACTCCACCACCGGTGGTCCCTTCACATAATTAATCTGCTTGGGATAACTGTAAAAGGAAAATATTCGGATAAGTTAGTTTATACGGCCGTGTGAGAGAGGCCCTGACGCTGATCGCCTCACTGGTTCAGTTTCTGCTAGGTTTATTTTCTGCATCCTGGAATACGAGAGACGAGATGTGTGTGTGTGTGTGTGTGTGTGTGTGTGTGTGTGTGTGTGTGTGTGTGTGTGTGTGTGTGTGTGTGTGTGTGTGTGTGTGTGTGTGTGTGTGTGTGTGTATGTGTGTGTGTGTGTATGTGTGTGTGTGTGTGTGTGTGTGTGTGTGTGTGTGTGTGTGTGTGTGTGTGTGTGTATGTGTGTGTGTGTGTGTGTGTGTGTGTGTGTGTGTGTGTGTGTGTGTGTGTGTGTGTGTGTGTGTGTGTGTGTGTGTGTGTGTGTGTGTGTGTGTGTGTGTGTGTGTGTGTGTGTGTGTGTG